GTTATCTGAAATGGGTGAATTCATGGGTTACTGGTGTGTAATTCTTATGGAAATGAAAACAATTATTTAAGTGTAAAAACATAACAAAAAGCTTGGAAGTCATGCCTCCATCTCTCAGAACGAGAAAAGAGCTGCACAAACTGAAAGTCAATGACTTTTCTTAGCTCCATGAGAGAACTGAGGTCCCAGGATAAACCACCACCCTGAAAACTGGAGAGACAGGTGAGGACAGAGAACACAGGACCACACGGTGGAAGCCTCTGCAGCCAGAAGCAGGTAGGGACACACCCATGGTACCTGCAGCAAGGTGCTGGCGGAAGCTGACCTTGGGCTAACAGTCTAAGCAAGGACCCCCATGTTTTCATGCAGTTTACCTCTGGCACTCCCACCAGGTTCTCAGCGAAGATGGGAGAAAAAGCCCCTTGTTTGGCTGGGGTGAGGGGAGTAGCCGTTTCGAAATACGTCACAACAAATGCCAACCAACCCAGCAAGAGGAAAGACCTCAGTAAATGAGAAACAAATCCTGACTTAGGAAGGGGGGCTTTTGTTCAAAGGGATGATTGCAAGGGGGAGGGGGGGGAGAGGGGGTGATGGAAACCATAAGATCTGCAAGCATCTCCAGACTTAGGCAAAAAGGGGGTTTCTTTTGTAAAAGGAGTAAACAAGGCTAGGAGGACCCAGGTGTGGGGGGAGTTGGGGGAAAGGGGAACATGATCGGATAGGAGATCAGAGGATGTTCCACTCAGAGGCCAGCCTGTTCGCAGCAGGGGCTGTCTGTGGGCTCAGGCAGAGGATGGGCAAAGTTCAGGCCCCTGGGGCAGGATGGACGTTTAACCAAAGTTTGACTAACACACATTTTGTTCCCATTGATCAGTGGGGACATAATAGTTCAGCTCATTTCAGAGGTAAAGAATGGGAATTTAGAGGGACTGTGTCTGGCCTTTTCATAAGTAATCAAGGGGCTCCTGTGAGTCTCGCCTAGTCATATGGGGCTGGGGAGGGGATGGGGAACGATGAGCCTTTTCTCTGAACACAAAGTGTGGGAGATCTCTTAACCTTCACTGTTTTCCAGGAGCATAGAGTTCAGGTAACAGTCAGCACTGTCAACAGTAAGGGCTTCCAGGACAATCTAAGACTCTTCACTTAGGGACTTCCCTGTTGGTCCAGTGGTTAAGACTGCGCCTTCTAATGCAAGGGGTGCAGGTTCGATATCTGGTTGGGGAGCTAAGATCCCACATGCCTTGCAGTCAAAAAACCAAAACAGAAAATAGAAGCAATATTGTAACAAATTCAATAGAGACTTTAAAAATGGTCCATGTCAAAAAAAAAAAAAAGAGAAGAAAAAATAAGACTCTTCACTTATTTCTCCTTTAACTCTTCCTTTCTTTACTTTGATTTGAGCTTCTGACCCTTAGTCTTGTCCTTCTCTCTGAAGAACTTTTAAATATTTCTTGCAAGGCAGGTCTACTGGTGACAAATTTTCTCAGTTTTTCTTTATCTGAGGAAGTCTGTATTTCTCCTTTACTTTCAAAGGATAATTGTGCTGGGTACAAAATTCTAGGTCAGTGTATTTTTTTCTTTCAAAACTCTGAACATTTCACCCCACTGTCTTCTACCTTGCATGGCTTCTAGTGAGAAGTCTGATGTGATGCTGACCTTTGTTTCTCCACCGGTAAGTTCAGGCAGTGTGCAATGCCGAGACTTTTATAATTATAAAGTGGAGAAGTGAAGTGTGTGTGTCCCTCATTGTTTCAGTGCATCCTCAGAAATAATCCCCAGTAATTTGAGTGGCTTTGATGCACTTTTTTTTCCAGGTTTTTTTTCCCCCCGGGGGCAGCAAAAATATATAGCTTGAGTGGGATAAATGCCATCCTCCTTTAAAAGTTCCATAATTATCTTAAAACCAACCCCAATATACATACAATCTAAATAAAACAGATTACTTGCTTTGTGAGCAACTTCAGACTAAATTCCCCAGCTTACTCCTTCAATTCTAGGCCCTTCTATGTAATATGTAGCTATTGTTCAGAGATAAACACACAAATATGCTTTTAGAAACAAAAACGAGATTGCAACCTGCACACTCTTCTACAACTTTCTTTTCTCACGTAATGGCCATAATTATACTAAGGGCACATTTGCGAATCAGTCCATATAGATCTGTATTGTGCTACATTTGTGGATGCATCACAAACTTTTTGTTCTTTAACATTTAGATTGTTTTCAATTGCCTGCCATCCAAACAGTACACAATGAATATTCTTGTACACTGTTATATCACATAGATTGTGCTGTTACATCCGTGGGACAAATTCTGGGAAGTAAGATTGCTGGGTCATGGGATATAAAAGTTAAAATGCGGGTAGACATGGCCAAATTACACTCTAAAAAGGTTGTAATAAACTATTACTGACAGTATATACGGGTGTTTGTCTTAACTCCTCTCCCCTTCATCTTAACACTTTATTAGTAACTGTTTAAATAATTGTCAGTCTTACAAAAAAACACACACACTTGTTATTAAATTTAAATTTGCATTTCTCGAGTAATTAGAGAGATTTAGATTCTTTTACCAGTGTTTTTTTTTTTGGATCAGTTGTATTTGTTCTGTATATTGCTTGTTTATATCCTTTGCTTATTTTTCTATTGAGTTGTCTTTCTCTGACTGATTATTAGAAACTCTTTCTATACTAGAGATATTAATGCCCTGCTTGCTAAATATTGCAAACATTTTCTCCCAAAGTTTTGTCTTTTATTTACGTACACATATATATTAACCTATTCATTTACACCACTGTTTCTCAAACTGTCGTTGATGGAGTGCCTGTAAGATAATCATGTGGGGTGCTCACTAAAAATGGAGATTCTGGGGCCCAAGCACTCTATGAGAATCTCTTGGAAAAGGACACAGGATTTTGTATTTAAAACAAATATCTAGATGGTAGAACTACCGTTTCATAGCCACTTATTTTTATGACTTAGATAATTATTAAATACATGACATTTTATGTTTTTGCATATATTTAGTCTTCAATCCATCTTAATTTGCTTCCTGTTATGATGCAAAAATCTAAATTAACTGTATTTTTTAATGTCTTTAATTATGCCAGCATTTATTAATAAACCATTCTTTTCCCACTAAATTAAAGCATCACCCTTATATTAGATTGCAGACTTTCTCACATTTCCATACTTTTAAAAAGACACATCCCTTTATTCTTTTTGTAAAATATTATGTATTTATAATAGAGAATTCGTGACATGCAGAATAATAAGAAATTTTAAAAATCCAGCTGTAGTAGATTGAATAGTATCTCTCCAAAATTCATGTCTACCTGCACATGTAACATTTGGAAATTGGGTCTTTGCAGATGTAATTAAGATGAGATCATACAGGATTAGGGTGGGTCCTAATTAAAGAATTAGTATCTATACAAGAAGAGGACAGATGCACAGTGAATGCCATGTGAAGACAGAGGCTGAAGCCACAGAACATCAAGGAAAGCCAAGGCTTACCCGCAACCACCAGAAGGTACGACAGGGGCGTGGAACATATTCTCCCTCAGAGCCTCCAAAAGAACCAACCTTGTCGCATATTGATTTTGGACTGCTGGACCCCAGAGCTGCAAGTGAATAAGTTTCTGTTGTTTTATGCCATCAGTTTGTGGTGCTCTAGGAAAACAATATACCAACTAATCAGAAACAACTAGCTTTAACATTAGATGGTCCTCATTACAGATGTTGTGTACGTATGTATATATACATGTGTACATGTAATAGATTGACAGAAATACTTCCAGTATAATGAGGTAATTCTGTACATTCTGCATTATTAAACATTATTTTACTTGAATTTATCTGAAGAAAAAGAATAGATTTGTCCTATTAGTCCAGTGATGGTTTTTCCTATTTCTGTGCTAATATCTTGGTGTTTAATTCTTTATAGGACAAATGCTTATCACTCTTCTTTTTCAAGATCTTTTTTTTTTTTTGGCCTCACCGCACAGCTTGCGGGATCTTAGTTCCCCATCAGGGATCAAACCCAGGGCCCTGGGCAGTGAAAGCGTGGAGTCCTAACCACTGGACCGCCAAGGAGTTCCCTTCAAGGTTTTCTTCATCATTTACAACAATGTGATCTTCCCTTCAAAATTTAAAATTAGTTCTAACTTATCCTCAAGAGAATCTGGAATTCTGATGGGAATTGTGCTAATTTGCAAATTTGGCTTGGGAAGAATTGGCATATTTTTGGTACTGATTTCTCATCCACAGATATGGCAGGTTTTTCTTTTTTTCTGGTCTTGTTTCCGCCTTTCAGCAAAGGGCAAGGGATTTCATCATCAGGATCTTGTAACTCGTTAAACTTTATTCCCAATTATTTTATAGTTTTTGACGCTGTTGCAGATAAAATATTTTTATTTTTAATAGGTTATTGCTTTTTCAAAAGGAAAATTGCTAGTTTTTCCTCTGCTTCTCTCTCTTGAGTTTTAAGCCTTTTACTGAACTCAGATTTAAAACGGAGGCATGAGTTTTCGCACTCGGCCGCTGAAGCCCTACATAAGCACTGGCTTCCATGTATCTCAGTCCCCTTTGTGCCCTGTGAGCTTCACAACCACGTCATAAAGCGTGGTGTCTGGTGTCTCCACTGCGCAAATGAGGGAGCTCAGCTCAGAGAGGCAAGTGATCTGCCCAGGGTCTCTCTGACACCATTTTGGCCTACCTGACAAAACCAGTTCCTAGGATACAATGCGGTCAGGAAGTTGGTACCGAGGCACGATTTCATTCGCACCAAAACGGGAAAGTTCCATGCTTACGGTGTCAGCATCTTACCAGAAAGCAAAACTGCTCTGGTGAGGAGGCGAAGGACTCCCGCGCCCGCGCGGCACGCCGGCTCGAGGTTGGCGGAAAAAGCCGAGCGCGCTCGGAAGCGCTCGCCACGCCTTCCGCAGGGAGCGTCAGGGGGCGGGGCTCGCGTGACGGCGCGTTGCGCGCGGGGCCTTGTGGGAGGGGCGGCCGGTGCAGCCGCGGCTGCCATCTTAGCAATTCCTGGCGTTGCGGCCTTGTCGTTGGCGGCGGCCTTCGTGGCGGCCGTCGGCCTCAGGGGGAGGCAGAAAGTCAGCTCGCTGATAGCTCTCCTTCCCCCAGCCTCGACAAGATTGCCAGCCCGCTTCCGGAAGCGGAGGCGAGGACAGCCGGGCACGTGCGGGGCCCGAAGCCAGCGGTTAGTCCCAGCGTCGCCCGGAAGGATGGGCCGGTCTCGGAGCCGGAGCTCGTCCCGCTCCAAACACACCAAGAGCAGCAAACACAACAAGAAGCGGAGCCGGTCCCGGTCGCGGTCTCGGGACAAGGAGCGCGTGCGAAAGCGCTCCAAGTCCCGGGAAAGTAAACGGAACCGGCGGCGGGAGTCGCGGTCCCGCTCGCGCTCCACCAACACGGCCGTGTCCCGGCGCGAGCGGGACCGGGAGCGCGCCTCGTCCCCGCCCGACCGCATCGACATCTTCGGGCGCACGGTGAGCAAGCGCAGCAGCCTGGACGAGAAGCAGAAGCGAGAGGAGGAGGAGAAGAAAGCAGAGTTCGAGCGGCAACGAAAAATGTGAGTGCCCGCGGGGGGAGGGGCCGGGAGCCGGGGAGGCGGCGGGTGCGGGGTAGCGGGGAGGGGGGAGCTGATTGGCCCTGGGGGGAGTGAAGGAGGTTAGCGGGGTCGCAGGGACCGGCCCCGAGCGGCTGCAACCCTGGCCTGTGGAAAGCCTGGGGCAGGACAGACCCACGAGTTGGCTGGGAAGGGCAGTAGTGGGGATGGAGCTGGAAGGGCTTGGAGCAGGGCAAGCATTTTGGCGCGAGAGGAGGAGGAGCGTCCCGGAAGTAGAGGGTGGAGTTCCGTGTGGGGTTGGAGCAGGCTGGCCCCGGAAAGTGGACGGAGGACGTTGGGGGGCCCCTGCAGAAGAGCGTTCTTGCCTTGCACCCTAAACGCGGGACAGGGATTCTCGGAGGTGAACCGCTTCAGGTGGTTGAAACGTACACGCACCCAATATAAGTCCTTATACTTTAGTGTACTCCTGCTGGTAGAGACGTCGCGGTCGTTTTTCCTGTCTCGGGCCTGCTCTTTTTGTTTTCTGAGGTGTAAAAACAGAATGCGCGCAGCTTAGGTGTGCAGTGAGGTAAATGAATCTTGACGCTTGAGTTCACCTGTGTAACCAATCGAAGCCTGCTCCGTCTTTTCACTCTTTACTAGTTATGGGCTGTAGGTCTCCGTAGCACACTTCGGTGCAAGACTGTAACTCGTTTCCCTTTTTGGTGTATACGTGCTGTTCAGAAGATAGAATATTCGCTTTTACTTTTGCATTGATCATATGCAGAAGAGTCACTTCTCAAGTACCTTTTGGTCTAAGAGTAGGTGCAAATGATTCCAAACGAATGAAATTTTGGTTTTAAAGTGTAGAGTTGTGTTTTGGTTCAAGACCCTGGTACTCTGATGCGCTGGGTATTCTTTCCCAAAGCCACGTTGAAAGGTAGAGAGATTTGCTAACTCCCCTTGTTTAACCAGCCATCTTCCTCAGTTCTTCAGTGCATGTTTAGAAAGTGCTCATAAGGCAGGAGAGTTACTGAATATAGAATTTTCCTGAGACAGATTTATGAGTGCTGAACTGTGTAGGCGTTTTCAGTCTTTCTGCAGTGTAGTTTGTGTTATGTTCCAGCAAAGCTTGTTTCTGAAAGGAAATCATTAAGAGGTAGGGGACTGGAAAACTAACTATTATTACTGGAGGAAGCAGTACCTGGAGATCTCTTTCACTGCGTTTCTTTAAAACATGCACAACGCTTGCATTTTTCCTTTACTTAGAACTATCGGTGGGAAGTATGAACACCGAGTACGAATAATTGTGTCACAAGAAACCGTGATTATATAGAATCCAGTTTTTTTGGTCTGGAACAAGATCCTTAACTGTAAAGATGTAGCTCTCAAATAACTGTCAACAGATGAACATTTAAAAAAATTAGCTAAGATAATTCTGAGATAGTATTTCCATGTGAAAACAAAGGATACCTCCAAAGAGTAATGATTTACCATTCATTAGAGAGCCGAAACTTACGGGGAAGAGTGAAAGGAAACTTGGTATGCAAGGAATAGATAGAAGCATTTAGCAAGCTACACACGAATAGCAGAGAAGAAATCCAGGGATGAAATGAGAAAATAGAGCAGTTATATTGTCCCAAGTTGATAGAGGAAGCACATGGCCGTTAGCATTTATGAAGGGAGGAGGGGACAGAGCTAGCAGCCACCTGCCCACTGAATCCCTGCGTGTTGTGCAGTAGGCACTACTTAGTACGCTCTAATGCCTAATAATGCAGAGGAGACGATTGAAAGATCTAGGTTTTGCAGTCATGGGAATGGGCAGAAGTAGTTGTTTATTTACAAATCCTGTTGGTTAGTTCATTCACCTGATACTTATGGAGCATCTTAATAAGTGCCAGACACTATGCTAGGAGCTGTTACTCTGAAAATGATTGACCCCTCCAAGGTCTCCATCTAGCTTGAAGACAGGTAGGTAGATAATAATACAGTGTGGTAAATTCAGTGATAGTGATGTGACTGTAAAAAGGAAGCATCCTGGATGGGTAAACACCTTAGTGCTCCTCAGGAGTGAGTGGCAGGTAAAAATAGGATTCTGTCAGGCTAAGCATAGGAGGATACTGTGGACCAAGGTAGGGAGCCCCCTCTACCCCTGCCAGAGTAAAGGGAGGGGTGCAGTATGGTGTTAGGTGGAGTAAAGAGGTGAATATTGACTGGAACATGAATTTCTGTAAGTATTCAAGTCATGGAGTGGCTGGAGAGGTAGATAGAGGCAGGGAATCATGGGAAGGGTCTTGCCATATTAAGGAGCTTGGATTTCATCATAGAAACCAGAAGGGTTTTAAGCAGGCATATGGCGTGGAATTGTAGGTTTGGTTTTCAATGGAACATGTACTGCTGTGTAGGATAGAAAGTTACAGTAAGTCCACATAGGAGTAGTGAGGGAGCAGTTGTTGGAATGGAAGAGAGGGGCAGATTTAAGAAGCATTTAGGGCAAATAAAATTGGATGTGAAACATAGGGGAAATAAAGCATTGTTTTGGCTCTCATGTTTATATTGTGGCTATTGCATCTCAGCCACCAAATGTTTAAGTAACTGCTGTGGGTCAAACACTAGTTAAAATATCAGAAACCTGCACTTGGCACTTCCAATGTAGGCACTCGATTTTGGACATAGTGAGTTCATCCAAGGTTGACACGGGAGACTGAAGCCTGGGGGAAACCTTGAGAGTAGATAGAATGGCCCAGGCAGAGAGTGGAGGGAGAAGAGCAGTTGATTCATGGGACTGAAAGAACCTTAGGGAATGTCTGGATGTACAGTTGGACAAAGGGAGACAAGTGTGTGGTGTAGTAGACAGCAGAGGAGGTAACACAAGAACACGCACTGTCAAGTGTACCTTCTAGAGGTCCAGTGTGAGATGGAGAGAGACAGCAAAATTAAAATCTCTTGGGCTTAACCGATTAGAAAGTCTCCTTAAGGTTGGAAACCAGATTGTTTTGCCATTTACAATTCTGAGGCCTTGAATAAACTACCTACCTGTGAGCTTGATTTCTTATCTGTAAAATGGAGATACCTGTCTCGCTTATTGTGAAGGTTAAAAGTACTTAGGTGATACTTGGCATGTATGTAATGAGACTCAGTAAATAATGTTATTTAATGTAACTTTTTTACATGTAGGCAGATTGAACCTGGTGATTTTAAGAAGTGATCTTACAAGTTACGATCTTGATGCAGTAAAAGGCAGACCTTAAAATTAAAAAAAAAATTTTTTCCTCACTGTTGAAAAGCTCATTCCTGTGGTTGAAAATTCAGTTCAAAAGATTTCCTTCTCCTTATGTCCCAGTCATTCAGTGTTGCTCTCTGTTTCCTCCTCTGCACCCTTATCATTTTTCCTGTGTATTATTTTGAGACGCTTTATGCCTGTTGTGATAACTGTTGGAAAAAATGAGTGGCTGAAAGTGACTTGCAGCAGATCAGGATAATATGAATGGCGTAGTAACTTACTGTAGCCTGTGGTATCTAGGTTCGCATATACTTGGTGTTCAATTGCATGGCATATCGAGAGCCTTCTAAATCCGAGTGTCTAAAGTGAACTGGGATCTATATGAGTGATTCTTAGAAGAATGCTCATTGTGAGAGCAAATTCGTTATATTGGAACTACGTACCTCAGGGAGGTTAGGGCTTTGAGACAAAAACATTAGGGCATAAGATCAAGCTGATGTTGGTAAGAATTTTATCAATTTTTTAGGTAATTATTTTGGTAGCTAAATTTTTGTGCATACCTTTTGCCTTTAATGTTTGTCGTGGAGAAACAGGGCAGGGTAGTAGCATGCTTAAGATCGTTATCTTTGGAGTTGCCTAGGTTGAGGGTCACCTCTCAGTCACCTGTTTAGCCTCAGGAGCCATCAGAGATGCACATTATACCGTGGAGTATAAAGCTTTTGGCAGAGTAGTTGGTGTCTATTCAGTACTGAGTAAATACTGTTTGCTAATATTATGAAGCAGTTCCTAGAAGGACACTACTAGGGTTGAGTTTGTACATTTTAAAGACTTAAAAGTAATATTAACCGATGCTCTGTACAAAGTCACACTCGCATTTAACGATGGGCCCTTGCTGTTTGTTTTAATAGTTGCCATTTTAAAGTTGATTGTGATTAGTGTTATGAGAGCATGGAGAAAATGAGGACCTACTCTTATCTATTGAAAAACTTCAAGGTTTTCATTCAACCCTTTCATCAGCGTCAGAGATTGTTTGTTTGGTTGCGTTGGGTCTTCGCTGCTGCACGTGGGCTTTCTCTAGTTGCGACGAGCAGGGGCCACTCTTCCTTGTGGCACGCAGGCTTCTCATTGCAGTGGACTCTCCCGTTGCGGAGCACGGGCTCCAGGCACGCGGGCTTCAGTAGTTGTGGCACGTGGGCTCAGTAGATGTGGTGCACAGGCTGAGTTGCTCCGCGGCATGTGGGATCTTCCCGGACCAGGGCTCAAACCCGTGTCCCCTGCATTGGCAGGCGGACTCCCAACCACTGCACCATCAGAGAAGCTCTCACAGATTCTTAGCAAGGGGATGGATTCAGCAGAGGAGCCTGAGGAAAAGATTAGAGAGAGAAAAGAGTATCAAGAGAGTGACAACTCCTATGACAACAGTTTTAAGGAATGGCTAGGCAGTCATTTTAGGTGAAGGATCTTTCCTAAGATACTAATGGCAAAAATGGGTTGTTGGGTTTTTTTTCTTTTCTGAGAAAGTTTCAGGGCTTCTTAGGAAAGTTAGCCCAGTTGCTGCCTTATCATTGATTATGATAATAAGTTTGTCATCAATAAGAATGAACTTTTTAAAATTTTAAGAGCCACCTATCCCTCCCACCCTCCTTCGGCTAACTGGTAGAGGAAGGCTATGTTGTACTAAGTTTCATTCAATTCTATACCTTATATGTTTGTGCTTTTGTGGGAAAAGACAAGACAAATGAAGAAAAACACAGGAATACAGAGATTGCTGAGACGTGCAGAGAATTTTTACTTATCATGTATGTTAATACTTATATTTAGCTGTAGAACAGAGTCGCAGAAGTATAGGCTCTATTAGTAGGTATTAGTGGGGTTCAGGTTTCTAGCACAGCATCTAGTGCATAGTAGGTTGTTCAGTAAAGACTTGTCGTATCTCTCAAGTGCTTAATTCTGTTGTTCGTGTGCCCTTGGTTTTCTGGATCCAGGTGTGTGGGGGGAAGGGGATTAAAGCAATATCCGGCTCTTAACTTTTTCAGCACTGGATCTAAAAATTGATTTAAATTTTTTTCTGAGTGCTGAAGTAGCAATTTTAACTTTACCGAAAATAACAGCGACAGCAAAAATTATACCCTTGATCATGCTTGTAGGGGAACACCTCTGCTCTGGTGCCCTGACCTTGCCTGTCTCCTTGTGTAGGGCGCAGCAGCAAGGCTTAATTACAGTCCTGGGGGTGTGCGTGGTGCCTTCAGGAACAAAGGGGGATGAGCAGCCTTGTAAGAAACTCCACTAGGCCGTTTCTCATCCTCTGGGTTTCAGTTGAGCTTGGGAGTTTCCGCTTGCCCTCCCCTTTAGGCTGGAAAACTGCTGAGCTGTACTTAGAACGGACTCCTTAGCAGCAGCCACCTATTGCTACATTGCTTGTCACCCTGTACGGCCTGTCACCTGGCCTCTCTCGTTTGGTGTCCATCAGTGGGAGCAGAGACACAGGGAGCTGACAGCATGCTGATCTGGCTCCTGCTGTAAGTAAGGAACTGGATTGGTTTGAGCTCTTTTCTCCTTGCTGACCAGATCTGTGGAGGTGTGGTCCCACTGGCCATTGTGCCATATTGCTGTCCTTTAGGGACTGTTTGCCTGACAGAAATCCTGAGCATGTGTCAGGTCTCTTCCACCTTTACCAAATTCCTGAGTTAATTAGGCAGCTTTTCTACAGATAAACAAACCCAAAGCCTTATCCAATTCTTTTCCCTCATCTTTTACTTTGTGTGGAAAGTTTTAACTGGAACTTGGTTTACAGTGTTCTGCTTAAAGAGTTGTACCATTTTTGAAATTTTAAAATGAGGTTTCTTTGTAGACGTTGCTACATTTACTAATTTTATAAGAACCAACTAACAGAAGAAAGCGTGGGGCGGGGTGTGTACGCTTCTGAAACTTCGTGTCATGAAAGCTTTCCAATTCAGCAAAATAGGGTATTAATCCTCATACAGCTGTCATCCAGGTTCAGCAGTTGTTAGCTTGCTTGTTTCATTTCATATTTCTGTCTTTCTCTTTGGATGAAGTAGAGAAACAATATTTTTATGTTTGGAATGTAGTTTAATTTCCGTTGAAATCGCTGCCCCATTTCTTTTAGGTATTCCTGGCCATTCTAGCGTTGGGGTGGATATCTCTTCTCTTTTACTAAGTTGCTATAGCTAAAGGCTTATTGAAACTACCCTAATACTATATTTCGTTCAAAGTTAAAAAAGGAAAAGGAGTATAGATAGAGAGTACGTGTTAGACTTTTGTGGGGGGTTTTTCCCCCAGTGAAAATCACCAATAATTTAGCGTTGGGGAGGAGATATTTAAGAAACAAGAATGGTTATTGCAGATATCTAGAACCTAACAGAAATTATGACTTCTCAAGTAGTTACTATCTCCCTGACAGAAGTATGTAGGGATTATAAATGCAGAAACAGATATGAATCAGAATATTAGATACATTGGTGTCAGTATGGTAACACTGTGAATAAATAACAGGAGTTGAGAATGAAAGCACTTTAGTGGGAATTGAATCACCCCCCAAAGTAGAATTGGGTTGAAGTGGATTGGGTATTTAAAGGTAACTTAGAAACTGTAAAGCCTTTACTAAACAGATAAATTGAATGACTCATACATATGTATGAGTCATCAAAAGATAAAAGGGTTACAGATTTTGTTTAATTTTGTGGATTGTGAGAAATATGCAGCATTAATAGATTGACCTCTTAGGATTTAGGTATACTTTCAGAGTCTCTGCATTCATTCCAGCACAAATTATTGTCTCAAGTAATGCCGTTCAAGAGAAATACAGTGTGAGCCACATTAAAAAGGAACTAGTGAAATTAATTTTAATATATTCCCAGTCTGTCTCAAAATACTGTCATTTTAACATGTAATCAAATAAAAATACTTGAGATCTTATATATCTTTTCTTCTTACTAATCTTCAATTCAAACCAGACACGCCTGGCTAGTGGCTATCATATTGGAGATCATTGGTATAAAATGTGCAAGGTTTCCACCATAGTGCCTTGATAAATGTCAGTATCTTCAGCACAGAATTTCATTTTGAGTGAATAAGTTCATTTATAATACCTAACTGGGGTTAAAATAGTTAAACGATATCATGCTTCGTTGAACTTTTTAGAAGTGATACTAATATATTTCATCCACTTTCCCATATCTAGAAGAGCTTTGAATTGAAAGTCAGTTAACGAAAGAAAAGGTGCAGTAAAGGGCAAAAGTTTAGAACCTGAATAAGTTTGTATTTTTGCTAAAAACCACAGTATGTTGCTTTAGCAGTCTGAATCTCTTTGAGTCTGTCTTTATTCTGATCTTGCTTGGGGTGGGGGAGGGGAGAATGAATTTAGCTGGTCTGAACTGCTTGCTACATAATAGTTTCTCCTGACTTGTCTGTAGCTCAACCCTTAGACTGAATGGATTGACAGATGAGCAAATTATATATTTAATAGCTTGTCTTTTCCTTATGAAGCTGGTAACGAAAGTAGATTTCCTGTTTCAGATTCACTCTACAGTTCCTAAAACTACTGCATTAATAAGCTGTTTGTATATACTAGTCTTTTTGTATTTACTTTAGAAAGTGACAAAAGAAAAAAACATGATTTTATATTTATTTGAATTTCTGTATCACTTAATCTTTTGGTATCTATCATTTCCTTGAATGTTACATGAAAATGAGTTGTAAAATCTTAGAAATATGTAAGCAGACTCTGTTTTACAGACTCACAACTAGTTCTATTTCAATTCTTAGGTTTATTTCTTACATTATCTAAGTCCTTTCCCCACTTTGTTTGCTAGTCGGCAGCAGGAAATAGAAGAAAAACTCATCGAGGAAGAAACTGCACGAAGAGTGGAAGAATTGGTGGCAAAAAGGGTGGAGGAAGAACTGGAGAAAAGGAAGGACGAGATTGAGCGAGAAGTGCTCCGAAGGGTCGAGGAGGCCAAGCGCATCATGGAAAAGCAGTTGCTCGAAGAACTCGAGCGACAGAGACAAGCTGAGCTTGCAGCGCAAAAAGCCAGAGAGGTAACGCTCGGTCGTTTGGAAAGTAGAGACAGTCCATGGCAAAACTTTCAGTGTCGGGTGTGCCTCCTGCGCAGTTCAGAAAGAGATGGAATGCAGACCAATTCCTTTCTCATCTAAACTTAACATTGCTGCGAAAGTTAATTTTTTAGCCTATTCACATGTGCTGACTGATATTTAAAAGCTATTTTCATAAAACTATCCAAGGATACTTTTTGATTTAATGGAGCTGGCTTACATATTTGAGAAGTGTTTGAAACTTTTGCCATGGCTGCAGGACTTACATTCTTTTTTTGGGAGGGTGGGGGGAGACAGGGAGTGGTAAAGGGAAAAGGTTAAAAATCCACCTGTGGTTACGTGTTCTTCTTTTCTGTTTATCTCTCTTATTGCCTAGACTGTGAGAGGCTTTTTGCCTTCAGTCAGATTAAAAAGAGCAGGGCCTAACATTGAGTGATAGCACCTGCTTTTGATAAGTAGGTTTTCTCGCTCTTCTTTTTTTCCTTCTTTTATCCCTCACCCCGCTACCCCAAATCCTGCCTCAACACAACGGACTAATTCTAGCGTTCTGATCATAAGGCCCTCCATTTTCCTAATGTGTTTCAAAGATCTTTTTAGGAAAAATGTCCAGATTATTCGTCCACTTTTTTAGTATCTACTAACAACTCCTTTTTTTCTCTAGAGAGTTATGAAGGAACAGGTTGTCCTTGTCTGGAGTCAAGCTAAACACATGATTTGTTTTATCAGCAGCTGGAGCAGAAGTTGAAAATGTCTTTCTGTGAGACAGTAATTTGCTACTGAAGCTTTATGGCTTATTTGCACTGATTACTCCAGGATCCTAAAACTTGTTGAAAGTCACTGGAACACTCAAGGCAAATTACCTTACAGCACTGAGTGTCCCTCAACATAGTTTGCATAGTGACTGTGAATTCCATTGGTGTGTGCCATAGGAAATCCCGTGGTTATATTTTCTTGAACTTCAATGTTTGACTCAAAATATGTGACTCATTGTCATTTTTAATCTTGGCATTATTGTGGACAAGTTGACATCTTATTAAATCTCTTGTTTCCCAGTAAGCTTAGTTTTTCAAATGCATTTTCCCTTGTGCTGTCTAGATATACATGTCTATATTTGGTGGATATCCCAAACTCTGTGCCATTGAGTATATGAAATTTTTGTTAGTGCCTTTAATAATGAAGATACTTTCGGAGTAATGGTGCTGTCTTGTAGCGAGTTATTAATCATAGGAAGATTTTTTTCTCTTCATTTGCTTTTTGTTTCATATTAACAATTTTTTTTTTACACGGACACAACCCTCTGACAGTCTTTCCAAATATTAAAATCATTTGAATATGTATGCTGTGATCTCAACACTGCCCAAACCATCAAGCAATCTTCATATAGCTTGCATTATAAAATCTCATGAAGTTCTCCAAGAAAAAATAAATTACAGAATTTTATTTCCTGACCATGCACCCCCTGGATTCCTGAATTTCAGTTCAGATTGTAGATGACAAGATAAGCTGCCTTTAGAAATTGTCAACATCTGAATGTTAAGTCCATTCTCCCCATGGAAGAAGCCCTTAGTTCCATGAAGTATGGATTACCATTTGTATTTTTCACTAACAGTAAATGTATTTTTCTTATTAATTGTTTGCCTTAGGAATGATGAATTACATTTTTTGTTCCTTCTTACCATAAACATCTGCATTCCTCAGCTCAGCCTTCCTTGTATGTTGTTTCTTTATAAATGGTTGAGCTGCTGATGCAGGTATTGCCAAGCTAACAGTACAAATCATTTTAAAGAGGAAGCTGGCGCGTATGGCAGCCGAGGAGCACACTCTGCAGGACACTGGACAAGACAGTAAATATTCAACTTTTAATGCTGATTAAAGGAGTATAGGTAAAGAATACGTAGGTATACATAATTGGTGAGACAAATATTCACTTTATTTATATTTTATATATTATTTTTTTAATTTGGTAAATACTATCCAGTTTTGTAGTTGTCCTTGTTGATTTGTGTGATATTAAAGTATTAGTAATAATTGCCAGGAAACTGTCATTAGGGAGGGTTTAGTTGGTTGCTGTTTGGACTGGGAGGGATGATTTAAATTTAGTACTAGAAACAAATTTTAGTGGCTGCACAGTTTATCATTTGTCAGACAGAAGGTAGCTATAAAGCTACCCTGTTTAGTCAGATCGAAATAATTCAGAGGAAGATTAGTGAATATTTTATCAATAAAAAAAAATTTATTTTTCTAACATCTTAACATGTCCTCCCCTTTAGGAGGAAGAACGTGCAAAACGTGAGGAGCTAGAGCGAATACTAGAAGAGAATAACCGAAAAATTGCAGAAGCACAAGCCAAACTGGTATGTATGAAGCATTCATGAAAAACATTTTAGAGTTCCCGGGACTATTTTAAGGGATTTGAGGGAACAGTAGGAATAGTTGACTAGATTTTAGCTACTGTCTTCTAGAGGAATCTGGGGCAAGCCAGAAATTCTGATTAATCTGGAGAAAGTTCCAAAATTCACAGTGGTTTAAAACAGCTTTCCTAGGGGAAATTGTACTATCCCCATCCCTAATTTCTTCTGTACCTAAAAAGACAAAAACAAAAACTTGAAGGTTAAGTTCTTAATTAAGCCTACGAATACGCAGCGTTTCACTTGGCATTAGTTGCTTTGTTACCAATTACTAGGCAGAATAAGTAGAGAGTATATATTTGATACTAAGTGTACCAGATGAATAAATTTTTTTCATATTTCATGTTTATAATCTAACAAGGAACACAGAGACTTAAAGAATTACAATATGAGATACAGGTGTAAAAGGAGATACAATTTTTACATTTTAATAAAGAAGTCAGTATAAGAATATTGAAGTAAATTTTTTAAATAGAAAAATGAATACATATCACTTCTATTTTTCTTTCCCATTCTGTATTTTAGTACTTCTGTTTGTTTGTTTGTAGCATATGCTAACATTTAAAATAGAATTTAAAAATAGATACAATTTTTGGTGTAGTAGCGTTTTCCCAATTAAGAGTATGAATATATTTTGAAGCATTCTCAGTATGATGTAAAAGAAAGCTAGAATTAAAGGACTATGGATATAAATAAATCAAAAAATGAAGAAGGATATAGTCAGACATTATAAGGGAAAATTCTCTTTTCCTTATGAAAATGGCATATAGGAATTCTACTTCAAAGTAAGAATATAAATCAGAGATAGAGGGCAATTTACTTAGAATGAATGAGGATTAGTGGTATTTACTGCCCAGGAATGAAGACATGACCCTAGAGGGACTCTTGGTTTTAGACAAGTTTTGTCTAGTTAGAAATGTGTTGAGAATAATGCAGCCATAGGAAGACATTTGCTGCTAAGTCATACTCTTGACTGGGGGAGGAAGGCAAGATGGAAGCTCCAGTTAAGCGATTCAGAAAAAACAAATTCTGTGACTGTGTTTATACAGGCACAGAAAAAGATCTGGGAGGATCTAAGTAATTAACAGTGAATCCCACTGGGGGGTTGGTGAAGGAGGACTGTAAATAATTGTTTTATGGTGAATAAGAATGTGAAAGTTAAAACCACCAGCAGTTGGTTCTAGAGTATGATCTTTTAAAAGATAATCTGCCCCAGATAAGAGCCAAACTAGAAATACCCTAAACAACTTACTGAAAATGACACAAGGGATTCTTAATATCACTGTCCTGGTTACTGTGAAAGCCACAAGGAAAGGGGAAGACCTACTCGTGCTTTACCAATGAAAAGACCTTAAAATCTGCTTAGGTGGAGGAAGCACCATGAATATGAGGTGGGTGAGAAGCCATAATAAGATGTATCAGTACATTGCTGATTAATACATGTGTGATAACGCTTTTTTCTTTTAGTGATTCCACATAAGGAGAAAATCTGAGTGCAAGTGCGAGAGAAAGTAAGAGGGGAAGTGTGCATCTTAATTTTAGTTTTGAAGGTTGAGCTTTGAAAGGTAGATAGAGTCTTGTTTGTAAGGCCATGGGTATTTGCAGGAGAGATGAACAGTATAGTTGGTGCTAGAAACATTGAAGCAAAATTACCCAGTACGTGGGATAGAATTCCTCTTAGAACGTGGTGTAAGAGACTGTATAGGGAGTTCAGTTTGCGGATGTCCTGAAAGGCCAGATTGTGACTTCTAGAGCAAAGGTTCTAAACTTGGTATACCCTGCCAAGGTCTTGATCCCTTCTGACCCTGGGGTAGCTGTCTGAGTGCCTGGGGACAGCTTGGCCTCCTTATGTTCCTCTAATAGCCGCCTTTGTTTACCCAAATGAACCATAAAAATAGGAGATTAGCAAAGCATATTCTAAAGCAGTGCTTTTCAAGTGGTGGTAAAGTTGCTCAGGTTTTGTTTTTGTCTTTTAATCCCAGTTTATCTCAGACCTCTACTTTTGCAAAATACAGTTAAGATGAATTATTAGAATAATGAGGTCAAATTGCTATAGAATTCTAAAATGCTTATTCTTGGCTTCTGCATATCTTATTGTGGGTCAGTTAGTGTGCACTGTCGTTGGTCCATGGGCCATCCTTAGAGTAGCACTGCTCTAGAACCCTTGAGTTTGACTTCATATTATTAGACTGCAGTGACGCTGCTCTGACTGCATGTTATCAATAAAACTTCAGTGAAAGGGTATCTTAGGGAAGAAGAAGCTTGAATTTGAGGAAAATTGGTAAAAATCTGGACATAACTAATTTGCTTCTTGTTTTCAGTAATGTTGGAAGCATTAAAAATTATTGTTCCTGTTGGAGAGAATTAATTTTTATTTGGTTCTATTGGTGGCCATGTCCTTGCAGGGAAAGTAGAGTACCCTTTGTGTAGGAAGAGACAAGAAAATGTTACTGTATAAACATGCAAGGCACACTATTGCAGTTTCTCTCATTTTTATCGTCCTTTCCCCTTCCTCTCAATTTTGAGCACAGTTCTTTAATCTTTATACACGTTTCCTAGTATTTACACTAGGAAATACTACATAGACTATATTGAAAGTCTTGTTAAAATAATAGACATATGAAAAAGCAATTTGGAGATAAAAGTAGCCAGGATGTTAAGTTCTCTTAAAGGCTTTAGTGTATTAATTGTGGAGACAAGGACAACTCCAAGAAAAGTCAGCTAATGATATGGAACTATTTGGTAAGTGGTATGAGTTACATACATGAGGTAACTGACATAATTGCCCTGGGAACCTTCCTGGAAGAGATACCACTGCTCTGGAGCTTGATGGACAGTTAGAAATTGAATTTCGGGTGAGGACAAGAGGGTGAGGAAATGAAGTAGGGCAAAGACCTTTAGGGAAGTACAATGAGAAAAAAAGCAAGAATGTATGGGATCTCTTGGGATAAGCAGTAGTAGTTGTAGTAAACCCACTTTATGTGCAGTCAGAAGTTCAGGTTTTGAAAGCAGATTAGACAGGTTGGAAAAGAGTGTACCCTGGGGGAGATTTCTTGTCTATAACCATGAAAGAATAACACAGTGATCTCTTGTAAATCAATAAAGGAGACCAACTTCCTGAAAGGGGGGGGGAACTACTTCGAGAGGTAAAAGAGGTAACTTCACACAAGTAAAATGAAAAGTAGCTGTAGTAAATTCCTGAAAATAAATCCCAGCCTTAATGGGAAAGCAAAGAAATGCCCCCTCTCTTTTCTTTTTTCTCTAATACTATATACCAAATTTGAAAAGACTTTTTTTTTCCCGTTAGTACCAAGTGTTGGCAAGAATATGGTATAAAGAGACCCTTTATATAATGCACTATTCTGGGAGTTTAAATGGATGTGACTGTTTTAGAAAATAACAATAAATCAGTATATACCAAGAACCTTAAATTTTAATTCTGCGCCTAAGAACTTACCTAATGGAAACTGAATCCAGTACAAATCAATTCACACACAAAAATGTTTTCCCCTTATTTGAATAGTGAAAATTGCCCAGGTTTTTAGATAAATTATAACACATACATACAGTGGATTTTTCTGTAGTCAAAAAGCATCTGATAATACAGGGGAAGTATGATTTTCCTAATTTGAAATGTATATTTGTACATTTAATAGAAAAATATGCCAAAGTACTGAGAATAGTTATCTCTAATTGAAAACTATAAAAAAATTTATACTTTTCTCCAGTTTTTACTTTTTTTTTTTTTTTAACAAGTAATGTGTATCACCATTATGATCAGGTAAGAATAACTAGTAAATAAAGTAAATTTAAGCCACACTTAGACTAACTTTTAAGTAAGCCCTCGTGACAAAACTTCAAAGATTGCTCCCAGTAATGTCTGTAATAAGGAACAGATTAGCTAAGCCATACGGACTCTCATATATGATACATGTTAAGTGGTCTAGACCAAGAGTAGTTTTTGCTCATTTTAGTTCCAAGTTGTTTATCAAGATACTTGATTTTATCTGTCCATAAGGAGGCAAGAAAATATTAGCGAACATACGTATTTGATTTATAAAATCAAACAAAAATTAATCCAAAAGTGGATTAGCTTGATTTGGTTTTTTGGCAGATTGGTTCCTAGTTCTTGGGTTAGTATTGGCATTGCACAGCTATCATCGAACATTTGAAAGGCTGTTGTTAGTACGATGGAGAATTTTAAGTTTCTTTAAAATGTTAAAAGTAGTACTTAAAATTTTTCAAAGTCCTCTTCTTCACACAGTTTTTAGTGATGCGTCTGGGATAAGCCCAGATACTATTCTGAAATGTGTATGAATCTTATTTATTCAGAACAGGAAACAGACTAAGTGAAGGTGGTGGGTGTTGCCATGGAATGAAATGTTCTAGGAGGTTATGTCAGTAGGAAAAACGACCCCTCAAACTGTCTCCTGAAATTCTGGGTCTATAGTATATTTCCTCTCTTTAATATTGAAATAATTTTCCTCTTTTCCCTTGCCAGTTAGGGAGATTTAGCGTGCTCATTGTGCTATATAACACGTGGTATCTCACCAGTTTGAGAGATGAAAAGATAGTACCATGTTTACAAGCTGACTATATATGAAATGTATTCCACATACTTAAGTTTCAAGTAAACCAGATCTCACTTTGAAATTAAGAGATAGCTCTGAAAAGAGTTCTTAGGGAGATGTAAGAAAGAATTTTTTAATGTTCGTGTAGTAGACAGAAAAATGTCTCCTGCCCCCCAAAAAAGATATCCATGTTCTAATCCCTAGAACCTGCGAGTGTTACCTTATATGACAGTTAAAGAGTCTACACAGATGTGAATAAGTTAAGGATCTTGAGGTGGGGAGTTTATCCTGGATTATTACTGTGCCCTAAATGCCTTTACATATATCCTTATAAGAGGGAGATGGAAGGAGATTCTACCACAAAACAGACAGGAG